TATTGCACGTTGATCGACAGCTCCTCGTCCTTCAGAGCATACAGAGCTGCTCTGTCTGAAGTAGAGCCTCCATGCATCCCTTACCTGTAAGTGTGAATGAAGTGTTTACACGTACGTTTGAACTCATACAGATTTTGGATCAGCAGAGAGCCACAACTTGACACGGCTCCTCCTTTCTTCCAGGGGTCTCATTCTCCAGGACTTGACCTTCGTTCACCTGGGGAACCCCGACCTCATTGACGGCAAGGTCAATTTCTCCAAACGCTGGCAACAGTTCAACATCCTGGACAGCATGCGGCGCTTCCAGCAAGTGTAAGTCCACTGGGATGAATTTAAAATATGATGAAAAGTAATCTTGATATATTATTAGAGAGCTTTGTAAACATCAGTCACAGTAATAAATGTCATCATTTGTTTGCCACTGGCAGGAAATACAATATTAGCCTTCTTTGTTTTTTCATTAAACTGTAATATCATAAAACATCGCTGCCATCTCCACACGCGCCGATTGTTTTTCCTCGCTAATGAATTAACTGCATTAATCAAAAACTCGACCCCCTTCTCATCTCAGGCATTATGAGCTGAAGCGCAACGAAGACATCGTCTGTTTCTTCAACGACTTCAGCGACCACCTGGCGGAGGAGGCCCTGTGGGAGCTGTCGCTGAAGATCAAGCCCAGGAACATCACCAGACGCAAGACGGACCGCGAGGAGAAGACCTAGGGGCCCCCGTGGGCCTTCACGAGACTGACCTCCAACTGTGCTTCATGACACTAACTCCACTTTATTACAGACTGAGAGAAAGACGAATGGAAGCTATCCGCTGGAGCTAATGGGAGACTCATTGTGGGGAATGCAGAACAAACTACATACAACTGAAGCGTGGCCGAGGTTTACAAAGAGCTCTGCTGCTCTGGGAGATTATAATTGGGATTACTGTGGCTCTGGCGTTTAGACGGGAAGAGATTCAGTGACTATGATGAAATGAAGAGGAAGCCTGGGTGCCAAGGAGGAGTGAAGAATCACACAGAGCGGACAGGGAGACACTACAGAAATAACCAAAGTCTGCTCCCTGGGCTCTCTGTTTTAGAGTGGAGCTGTTGCGTGTGTGTGAGATTGAGCTGAATGGTCCATTACTCTCCAAATTGCTCCTTCCTCTTCCTTTATGTATGTGCCATTTGTTGGTCATCTTCTGCGAACCCTCTCCCTGACTGATGAGTTCCCCTCTCAAACAGCAGAACCTCGAGAGCCGCCTGCCCCTGAACTGTGACGTCAACGCGCAGGCTGCTTACCCGAGAATCTGCTGGGGAGGGGGGGGCGTGGGCGTGTTTGAACTTGAAGAGAGGATGACCATTAGAGACTGAGTTTGTTTTGAAACATTTTGTGTAAGAATCATGTATGGTTATGAAATGTATTATATACAGTGCTCCTTTTGTTCTTAAAAAGGATGTTTATGCTTATGAGAAGAGCTTAGCTTCTCCCAAGTGCCATACATATGTGCACTAAAAAAAGCAAAGCAAAAACACAAAAAGATAAATTACTAAAGATGCTGTGATCTATGTATGTCATACTGAATCATTGTGTGCCGTGTAGAGAACCATCAGGCAGTCACAATCACGTCCCAGTCATGTCGGTGTGTGAAAGAGTGTTTGTGAGCGACTGAAGTCCTCAGTGACTTGTGTGTTTGTCATTCCAAAATGTGCTGTAGTAAATCATTTTGATTCCTTTTTGGGATAATGGTCAAAACCAACACATCACACTGTGCTATCAAACTCCAATAAAACAAACGGCTCTGTTTCTATACATACGTCTTATTCAGAAGCTTCATTTTCAACAAAACTTTATAATAGAATTTCCATTTATTGTTGTACAGAATGGTCAGTGGAAAATGAACTTTAAAAAATTTAAGGCATGTATCCGACTGTAAATAATCAAAAAAAGGAAGCACTCGGTACGAATCTAGGTGTGACACTACTAAACCACACAGCCATCAGTCCTAACTTGATTTAAATAAATTAAAACAAACAGGGAAAGCAACAAGACAACTACAACAGATGAGTATTAATATAAAATAAATATAATAAACTCAATTTAAAGCAACAAAGATGCACGTATAAATAGAAGGTCAAAGTGCAAAAGCATGACTGAAATCAAATATTTTACCGTCCAGATCAGTAACAGGTCATCTAACCACAGTCAACACTGAAAAATCTAACTGCATCATGGAAGACAAAGCATTATCTATGAGCATATTGGTTGCGCACCAATGATTACTGTAAAATTATGAAGAGGTTGCAGCACTGAATGCTTGCACTGTGAGATTTGTGGGTAACTTTTTTTTTTTTTTAAAAAGCTGCTGTACACGGTGAAATCGGCATCGCAGTCGCCGACCCCATCCGGCACAAATCAGTAGCAGCAATCCCAACTCGAAGCTCGTATGGTACAGTCCGAACACATCCGTTCACACAGTCTCAGTGAGGCCGACAACTGGGCTCTAACAGGACCCTCTTTCCTGAAGGGTTAGCGACTCCGTTCTGCAGGTCGCTCTGCTCAGAAATGGCCCGCTTTAAGCTGCGCCCGTTGATGGACCCGCGCTGCCATTTGCAGATGTCACCGTTCAGTATGTCTTGGATGTGCTGCACGATGAGGTTGATGGCCACTGTTGAGAGAGCGAGAGACACGATTTGTCCAGCATTCGTGTTGGAAAGATTAACAGGAAAGCATCTTTTCCGGAAAAAAGAAACACTTACCCATGTTGTCAACTCCCCTTGGAATGATGACGTCTACATACTTCTTTGTCTGAAAGAGAAAAGAGGCGAGGTAGTGCTTTAAAAAGGAGCATTGTTGACAGAACAGGACACTGGAAAATAGGAACACAATTGCGTCATACTTACAGGCAAACAAAACTCTTCAAAAGCAGGCTTGACAAACGTTGTGTACTGAGTGAGAATCTGTTCCAGCTCTCTCCCTCTGTTCATGTCTCGCAGAACTACAGGGAGAAATTAGGTCAAACTATTGACATACGGTTGCAACATCTGGAATATTGCACGTGAGGGAGACACCGATACCTCTGCGAGACAGTCTGACGTCTGAATCTGTGTCCACGAAGAGCTTCATGTGAAACATGTCGCGCACTTTCTGGGTGTAGAAGACCAGGATGCCCTCGAACAGGACCACGTCTGCTGGGTAAACTGTGATCGTGTCTTCCAACCTGGAAACATACGCAGATATTCATACAGAGGCAATGGTGATAAGAGTTATTAGTTCTGTGAAAGACTGAAAGGAGATTGTGAAATGCTTCCTTCCTACCTGGAATGGGTGACGAAGTCATACGTCGGCACTTCGACCACCCTTCCCTCCACGATGTCCTTCAAGGTTTTGTACATCAACTCGTTGTCAAACGCCTCTGCAAGACATTTAACACAAACGGAAATGTTGAATGCAGTAAGTACTAGAAGTGATTTGGAAACAGTTTTCTAGTTCATAGTTCTGCTCCAGCAAACTGACTAGTAAGCTGACTCTGCAGCTTTGTTAAGAGCAAGTTTGACTGCAGAATTCCCCGTCATTGTCAAAAAACCTTGACAACCAAAATGAAAGGCTTCTTGCGAAAATAAGTTTGACTAAATACCACAGACTGAACATAAAACTCTCCATACACAGCCAATTGTATAGACATACATGAACATAATGTACTGTATTATGAGACATACTGTATGTATAATTCCCCAAACATCACACTATCAAAGCAAGACAGTCCAGTCCAACCACTGTCCAACATTATCGTTTTTATAAGTTACATTAAATCAAAACAGCTGACAGACTAACCTGGCAATAACATTATAACAGCAAAACCAAACTCAAATAAACGCACCGGTGTTGGTTGGACAGTCCAGGTGGGGAAACACTGGCATTGATATAAGTTATAACACATCAGAGCACCCTGCTGTACTGTTTGTGAAGACATTGGGGAGGAACCACTCTGTAGTTTACCTGGGTGATCAAAGTTGTACTGGCCCTTCAGCGCTTTCGCCTTCTGGTCTGGAGTCAGGACTCTGTAGAAGCTGTCCTGGCTTATAATAGCCACCTTCCTCTGGCGGTGGTCCACCTTGTTCTGGCCCAGGAGCTCCATGATCTTGGCGCAAACTGTCGACTGTGGCAGAAAACTTCACTTCACTTCACTCAACTATTATTCAAGAGCCGTCACAATGCATTACTGATTCAACACAGCACGTTTACGGTGAACAAGGGGGCAACAAAGGTTATTAACTTAAGTGCGACCTTCTCTGTGTACCGTTAATGTTTATCAGCTGACTCCATCTGCCATTGCGAGGGAATAGACACGTTTATTACAGCGGCTAGTTAGCTCTACGAGGCTATTTGGGGCTAAAATGGCACAAAACAAAGTGTTAGCAGTAAGAAAAAGTAACAGAGCAGAAGTGTAGCCACAGTTCTTGCGTGTTAACAAATAAAAGAAAAGGTTAACTGAGCCAGGGGGGGCGTGCCAGCTGGTTTGACAGCCCGCGTAATGCTAATGTTGTCCACGCTAAGCTACACGGGACGCTAACTTCCGTCACCGGAAGATCCCGCGGTTGAATAACAACTGACCTTGCCGCTTGCCGTCCCTCCGCTGACCCCTATCAGGAAAGGGCTGTGCCGGGGCCTCGCTGCCTCGTCCAGGGCTCCGAGAGCATCCATCGCAGTCCAACAGCGGAGGAAGACTGCGGTTATCTAAGATATAGCTTGGCTAAGTGCTAGTTGTGCTTTCTGTTGCAACGACGGTCCGCTGTTCTCGCGAGAACTCACGGCTCTTCCACCGAGAGTTTGAACACCGGACCGCTTAGGGCGGAACTGCATTTAACATTTACATAAAATAAGATTCATCACTACATATAAACATCTGGAGCGGAGCTAGATTAAATGTTTCCGTAAAATTTAATAAATTATAGTCTATATACGTCATCGGCCGTTTAGTTCCTTGTTCAGAATTCGTGAGAACAAATATAATAGCAATCAAAATCAGGTTTATTAGGAATTAAGTATATACATCTTACAGAAACACATATACAGTATTTAACAAAGCTTCATTGTTTTTCTGGGTCATTGTTGGATTTCTCTGTCTCTTCACCACATTGTGACTTGTCCTTCTTGGATTCATCCAGCACTATCTCCAGAGCAGCACTTCCTTCAATCCTCTTCACAGTCTCTCCTTTGGCAGCAAGGATTTCCTCAATGTTTCTAAAGTGTTGAGAAACACAGCATGAGTCATTCAGAAACATACTGTACACACTGTACACAGTCTGTGCTCCTTAGACAGTTGCAGTGGACACTTGGCATCCTGAAGCCCCAACCACAATTTAAAGTGCATGCTCCACTTCAGTATACTTTTAAAAAGAGATGTTGCTGCTTTGTTAAACAGTAGCTAAGAACGTGTATTCACATAACAATGTTATCAATCTATTCAAACAGTAATGCCGTCACATGTAGAGCTAGAACAATACATTGGCTGAGCCAAATATCAGGCTTATTACAGATATACTGGTTTTGGCATGTATGATGGTGAATAAGTAACAAAAAGTTGTAGACCAGAAGTTCCACAATGTCTGAGGTGATTAGGAAACAGTGATCATTACAGAATTTGTCCACCAGAGTGCACTGTTAACTTTAGATAGATAGATAGATAGATAGATAGATAGATAGATAGATAGATAGATAGATAGATAGATAGATAGATATTCCTTTATTTGTCCCACAA